CTGTCCGTAAGAATAGCGTTGAATAATTCAAATCTATTCATTTGAGAGCAGCCCTGCATTAGCCCATAGACCACATCATCCAGGAATAGGACCAGAGATTTGGTGGACAGGTCTAAGAAGAGTTCTCTCAGTTGCTTGAGTTCACTGATAAGCGCTATATCTTCGAGATCATCGCTAGAAAACACCGACACCTTTGAACACCGAAGAACCTGTAGCTTTGGTAAGCCTTGAGCTATGATCTGAAACCACCAGCCATCCCATGTGCCACCACTCAGATCCAATGTGGTTAGATTTGGTCCACCCTTACTAGCGCTCAATGATAACAGCCCGCTGTTGTCCATTATCTTGATGTCGGTGCGAATCTCGCGTATAGTATCACTCATGTATGCATAACAATCACCATTAATGCGATTATAATGGCCACTCCGACCCCACTCTGTCCAACTGGGAGGGTATATCAGATCTGAATGGACTACAAAACTCTTCAAGTGTTGACAGCTTTGGAAAAGGGTTTTCAGACACTCCTCGGCGATCACCAGATTAGAGGAAACCACACGAATGTAACTTAAATTGGGGTACTTTTCGCCAATTCTTTTCATATCGGATACAGTGATCGATATTTTCCGGAATCCTATCAAATCGATGGCTTCGAGACTGTGATGACAATTGTCGCAAATAAGTCTTATGGGACTCTCGAGTCTTAAATAATCAATTAATCCGATTCTCTTGAGGTTCGGGCACTTCTTGATGGCGCCATTCATTATGTTTTCGGCCGCTTCGTCCCATTCAGACAATTCATTATCGCCTAACACTAAGAGATAGTCAAATGTGATTAGTTTTGAGAGCTCCAGCACTTCCGTGGTTTTGGCGTTAGGTTCAGTCACTGGACAACAGAGTTCGACATCGAAGTCATTTTTGTCCGAAAAGTATAGACATGTTTGCAATGATAGCATATAACTGAGTAAATCCCTCCAACGTCTGCACACCCTCTCAGTCCTAACTTTATCGACGAAATCAAGGAAAGACAATATGATGAGCAGGACGTCGTCATCCAAGTCACTGATTGTCAAACAACCGTTTGGTTCACTTTCACACATTTTTACTATTAAATTATGCTTTAATTTTTGGCATCAAATAATTAAAAACAAAATTCTACTTTTATATTCTTTGCATAACTTTTCATTGAACCTAATATTATATTATGTAATGAATTCACGGATAAAATTAATTTATGAATGGATTATATTAGTACTAAACTCTATTATATCATACATTAAATGCAACGGAAGTATTGATACATTTGAGGAGTAATGGAAGAGAACTATAAATGGAAAGGAAGGGAAGGAACGGTAGATGAAAACAAAAGTGTTTTTAAATTTGGAAATTAGATGCATAAGAAAAAAAGTTGAGTGCACTCAGAGATACCATTCCCTAGATTATCTAATTATAGACTACTTCATTATAGTGTCTATTCGCATGCATAATATGTAAACACTTTTGTTTTGTTTAGATATTCTCAAACAATATAATATTAAATTTATTCATAGAAGTAAATGTAGTTTAATACAAATAATTATTTATCCATAAAATTTTTAAATATTTTATTTAATATGGGAATATGGTTTAGTTAATGATAATTAATTTTTATAATAAATCAATACCTAGTATAGTAAATATAAAATATTTAAGAAGATATTCTGTTTAATTGCAATAGTTTTTGCTCTCATTATAAGATAGTTTGCAAATTTATTGACATTTCATTTGACATCAATTTCAGTATATTTTCTGTTGACTTAAGTATTGTACTTATATTATAGTTCTCTATTAATTAAGATCCAAAAATAGAGGACTTAAAAATATTATACATGCAAAGCAACCATTAATATTCACTTCTAAGAATATCTATATATGAATAAATATAATTACATCAATGTTATAAGAATATTGATATTCATTTCAAAACTCTGTTCGTAATATGAAAATAATATTATTATTCAGTTTTCGCAATAAATCGATATTTCTTATTATTTTAAGTTGAGTTCACGAAAACTAAATTATCTCAAAGTTTACTCAAACAGTGAAATGGATTCCAATGTAAATAACAATCAAATCCAGAATTTCGATGAATTCGATGAGTGTATGAATGAGTTAATAGACGATCATTATGTGACACAATTGGAAAGGGGTTTAATTCAAATGACTATTATCTCTGAGCCCTTTAAAAGATATTTAACACAACATAACATAAGAACTTATGGCTCAAAATTTTATCTAAATTATATTCTTACCACTTATTTGATTGCAAATACACTTCGGCTTATTCTGTGTCTGTCATTACCTGATAGTCACTACTATTTGGTCCATTTGGGAGACTTTACGCAATGGTTTGGCGGCAAGAGAGCCTATTTCTTGATACCATTCATTGTAATCAATATTAACGCTTCCTATCAATCATTAATTTATTTAATTTCAAACGAAAAGGATTTCTTATGGATTAAGATCTTTGCGTCTCTAAGAGGTATTTAAAAAATAATTGATTTTATAAAACATTATTATGCCAACTGTCCCATAGGTCTGATACCTCCCTCACAGATGGGTATCTGGAAGCGTAAGATGTTTATAGATCTTTACAGAGGGGTTAAGACAATCTCGAAAATCAACAAATTTATTAATCTCTTTGTTTATATCACATCCATCACAACAATTACAAGTCTTTATTACTTTAACTGCAAATATGCTTATCTAACGACTTATGGCTTCTTTTGGGTCCTAAACCACACCATTTGGTTCTTCTATGTAATCGGCATTCCGTGCATTAATTCCCATTACTTTCAGATTCTGTGCTATTATTTAGTCATAAGACTGGAAGAAGTGAACGAATTGTTTGTCAAAATGGCTTCTCGTATATCATATAAGAAAAAGAAATGGCGTTCAGATGGGGTGGACATTGTGTTTGCAGAACACGACCGCATCTGTGCATCAATTAATGATTTCAATAAGTTTTGGCACAAATTTATTTTCTCCACTCTAACCACTTGTATACCGCTATTAATACTGCTTTCCTATCAACTTGTGTTCATTCAAATGAATTTATTCGCGTTTTTCATTTGGTTTATAGTCTTATTGTATTTGGTTTATACCCTGTATATTGTGGGCGCAGCGGCCGCCCTAATACCGGCCACACTTCAAAAGCCATACAATAAACTCAATTCAATTAATTTGTTTCTGTTATCAGTTCCCAGACGTATAGAAGTACAGCAAATGGTCACAAGAATTAGTGAAACACTCATTGGTTTCACATATTTAGGAAGTTTTTACATTAAAAGGAAAAATCTAATCGATGTAAGTTTTGTCATATACAGTATGATATTTTCTGCCACACAAAATAGTATTAAAAAATGATTTAAAATTATTTTTCCTAATTATTTAAATCCTGTATTATTTTAGATGACTCTTATATTTGTCGGATATTTTATACTACTCTGCGGTATCTCTCAAACTAATATTATATAAAATAATCAACACTACATTCATATATTCAATTCATAAAATATTTATTCTTATCGTAACATATTATGACAGACATATTATTAGAATAGTTTAGTCTAGAATCTAGTTTAAAATCAAAATTGATTCATGTGCTATTCTCCATAAGTTTATATGAAAGTATAACTGATATTATTAGTAAGTTGACCCAGTTCTAACGTCTGTCTGTGAATGATTTAGTCATATAAAAATATATACTGCTAATTTGATGCGGAATACACTACAGTATAACTTGTAAAGTGCACGGATATCATCAACCAATTTGGTTCAATGAATCAATTATTTATTTCTTTTCCAAATTAATGGGAATTCTTTGGATTCGACTACATTTTGGCCCACTTTTAAACCTCCTGTAGTCGGCGGGGATGTAATCCATGGTCGGCCACCAATTACTGCATCATCACCTTAATTATTACACCAATAAATTCAAGTTTATTTGAATTAACTTTATTAAGTTTATTTTATATAAATAAAAATCGATTACATACCTAACCATCTGGTGCTCAAAACTCTTCTAGAAGTAGTTTGGGACAGATTTCCGGGCGCCCCGTGAAGTGTCCGCATATGAAATACTATACAATCTCCCGGTTCTACACTAAACCTCAATATTCTGTAATTCTCACGAATATATCGATCGGAAGGGACATCAATATACTCATTGGTATCGCAAACTTCATTATCGTGTGTATTATAATTCAAATGAGTGGCGAATTTTCGCGGTTTATACCACTTATTATCCAAATGAGAAGCCGCGGCGAACTCTACCGTACTTTCGATGGGCACTGAGTCCAGAGGCATCCAAATCGAGCAGTTCTGCCAATTCAGTCAATTATCACACAAAATATTTTCAAAAAAGAAAATATTGTTTAAACCTTGAATCCATTGATGGGATAGTAAGCCTGGTCGTGGTGCCAAGGCGTCAGTTTGTTAGCACCGGCCTCTTTGATGAGGACGTGCTCGTGATAGAAGACACTATGCATTGAGTCCATAAGTATGGCACTGATCTCAGCGGCCGGTGACTGGTATACATACTCTTGAAATTCTGGAATAGACCTAGACCATATACAGTATATTGAAATGAATAATGAGCTTTTATAAGCATATTGATAAGTAAGAAAGCTACTTTAAATGTTGATAAATTGATTAAAAAATAAATAGACCTCGAGTTACAATAATCATTAAAAAAGGCTCCCATTTCTCCATCGTTGGCCAGTCTCTCGCTATAAGGACTCGGATTCTCTAAATTCCTGTCAATCCCTTCAATCACTTTCTCAATCCAGTGCTCACTGAAGACATTGCGGACACAAACAACACCATCTCTGCGAAAGTCGTCCACTAATTGCTGTGTTATATATTCACTCATTTTTGGGAAACTTTTTGCCACTAAATTAACTTAACTTTAATTTTCAAATAAATTTGTGAATTTATAGTTTGTCAAAGTTATGGCATAAACTGGTTTTAGATTAATAGTACAGATCAGTGCAAATTAGTGGTGCTTTGCAACCATTTATAAGCAATTGATTAAATGACCTGGCATATATCTTATGATTAATTATCATATCATTCAAAATTAACGAAAACTAAATTTTGATGTAAAAAACTAATTATTAAATATAAACTTACAGTATGTACTAATATATAGTGTAATCTAAGACTGACTTGTGGTGACAACGGATGTACTTATCATCAGATAATGATCACCATTGAGACAAACCATTCACTGTTTAGACAATTCTTCACAAAACCTTACCATTCATTACACAAACACTTCAATCACAGGATGTCTCCCAATATCTCCCAAAATGCGACAAAACTTTTGAACAAAATCTGAAAATAACGTAATTTTTGTCACTTTTTGTGATTATTTCTGTAAACAAACCATCAGTTGATTGATGGCATCGTCGCTGATATCTACTGAAGAGTCTGTGGCGACCGAGTGGTCAACACTTCCCGAGTCTCTATGGCTGTCAATATTCTCGAGATGCGATTCCATGGATCTGTTGGCCATCAAAGATGTTTGCCTTCAATGGCGACGAATCGCCAAAGACTTGTCACTCGTGTCTCATCTGGAGGTCGTGTCCAATGGGTTGGAGTCACAGATGAAAAAGATTATCCATTTGTTGTCTTTTGTGGGCCACGACCTCAGGGTTCTTAGGATAAGGAACCGTGAATGCGAGGACCGACTCATGAGTTACAGACGACACGATAAGTTGAATCCAATGACTGAAGAAATGATGACTACATTGAGAGACAAATGCCAACAATTGAGTCGATTATCATTGGAGGACATCACTGATGACAATATCTCCTACAATAGTCTTCCCCAACGATTGACTCATTTGTCTCTAATTGGTTGCAGAAGTGGTGGAAATCAGTCAAAGCCTTTGCCAAGAATTAGCCGTATGTTTGATCCGAATGAGATCCATGGATCAGCTAAATACCAATCCATAGTATATCTGAATGTGAGTCACATTAATGTCTTTGAGTCCCAAATGTGTCGATCAATCAATGGATTCGTTTCACTCAAGTATTTATATCTGAATTCATTGTATCGCGTAAACGACGGCGGGATCACAGACATCACCCCTAAACTGGTCTCACAATTGATTGTCATTGACTTAGAGGGCACTGACATCGAAGACGAGTCATTCCAGTATATCCTAAACAATGGCCACTCTTTGGAGGAGCTATATATGGGAACCACTAAAACGAGCGCTAACTTAGATTTTAGTAAATCTGTTGCCAAACGGCTTAAGAAGTTATGTCTTTTAAATTCTTGTGTCCAAAGGGATAATGTACTCAATATTCTTCGAAGTCATTCATCGTTGCAGTCATTGTATTGCTGTGAAGATATTAAGGAAACAATCGATTCGCCTGTCCTTAAGAC